CAAGCTACCGTAATTCTGGACTCGACCATAGTGGTGGGGGCTGCTGCGCAGTCACTGTTGGCCACAGCGCAGCCGGAGCAGACAGGAAATGTGAGGTCTCTTTTAATAAAACAATAAACAATACATGTGTACCTTATTCTTCATGGAAAAATAAGATATCCCCTGAAAATAAGACAGCGCATCTTTGGGAGCAAAAATTAATACGATACTGTCTTATTTTCTGGGAAACAGTAACATATAACAAGGGTTCATGAGGGTAGTAGGGAATAAAGAGCTGTTGTCAAAGGGCTCAAGAAGAAAGATAATGTTTTGAAAATGATGGCAGCATCTGTATAAGTTTTCTTGATATAATTGATTTATGGATTGTTATAATATCTGTAAGAGCCGCCAATAAAACGATTTAAAAAATAAATGAAAATTTGGCTAGCATCACGTAGTAATTGTGGTAAGGGCCAGGACTTAACCCTAACTTGGGTGTCTTTATACTTTACACTGTTCTGCATACATGTTACCTATCTTGCTTTAGCCCACTGCTTCGTCCATGTACAAACTTACTATATACTCAAAGTCCTCATATATTACATAAACTGAATTTGGGAACCAAAAGCCTTTCATCTGTTATAGGGAACCAAAGGTAGGGATGTGATAGATACATTAGAAAACAATGATAATATTGTATTTGTATTATTTTACAACTTGTTTTCCATGGAAATTTTATATCCTTGAAGATCTACCCAATTAATTTAAATAGCTATGTGGTTTTCCAGTTTATGAAATATACCTTAAAGTTACTTGGCCATTTCCAATTGGTAGACAATTGGTTTATTTCCAGTTTTTACCATATAACATGTTACATTGCATACATTTGCTCTCAGATATATTTTTAGAAGTTGAATTGCTACTAGGTCAAGGAGTTTTAACACTAAACTTTTAGTAATAAAAGAGCTCATTATTTTATGCTTTTGCCAAAGCTTGTTTCCTCACTTCTTTCCCATCCAAGGGATGTTTTCAGTCTTTTTAATCGTTTAGTCTCTTCTACTCAAAAAGATAGGCAATTTGAATTTTCAAGGTTAGTTTATTGGCAGTTTGTATTTTCTTTTTCTCTGAAGTTTGTTTTTACATATATAATTCTCTTGTTCTATAACATCTCATTTATTTATTTGCTATGTTTCACTTTAAAATCAACAAAGAAACCACTACTGCTATTTACATTAAGATTTCTTTCCATTTACGTAAAGTAATGAAAGAAAATGAATTGCTGTCAAGCTGATTCAGACTCGTATCCCAGGAGAACAGCGCTCCATCCGTTTCAATGGCTGACTTTGGAAGTAGGTTGCCAGCCCTTTTGTTAGGCACCTTTGGGTTAGCAGGTGAGCATGTGAACCACTTCCATGACCCAGGGACTGTTTAGAGTTAATTTTTATGCCATACCTGTATAGTTTTTTTGATATCTGTTTATTTGTATTGCTCCTAACAACAATGCAGAAAATAACCCAATGTTCTTAGAAAATGTGTTTATTAAAAATTAACTTTGTTTATTAGTTTAGTTAGTTTCATATTCTTATTATTTCTTTCCTTTTTTTGTCATAGGATAATGCTGACTACAGATTATTTCATAAAACACTCAAGTTATGTCGTTTTTTTGCCAACTCCCTTTTGCACTACACTAAGGTAAGGGCTGTGTGTTATAAATGCAAAATTATAACTTGCATGAATTATAAATTACCATACTTTCATTCAGTACTCAAGTCATTTGAAGTTACTTTGTCAAGAATGTATTTTTTTGAGTTTTTGAAAATATGGTGTAATGTTAAATGTTGAGCATGTCTTTGTCATTTAAAATGTCATCATTTTACTTGTTAATTCTCTGAGAAAAATTATTTCAGTAAGCGTAAGTTAGTTTTCAGCACATGATTCCATTTGTCTTTTAATAACATGAAATTATTTCTATCATATCTCAAATTTATATTGTTCAGGTTTAAATATCAAAACTAATGATTTTAAGAATACCTGTGGATAACAGTTATATGAGCCCCTAATAAAATGTTAAAAAAAAAGAAAAAATAAATAAATAAATAAATAAAAACTGAAAAAAAAAAAAAAAAAGAATACCTGTGTATTTGATAGTCATTAGAATAGCAAGTGATGGTTGAAGATATGCAGAAAGACTTCAGGAACTAAAGATGTTGAATTTTTCCAGAGACTTTGAAAGCCTCGTGTATATGAAATTACAGATCAGTTGCAAGACAGATTCTGTAGAGTGAAGAACAGAGAAGGCTTGTCTAAGGAAAGGTTGCCAGTGACAACTATGTGTCACTTATCCAGGCTACGTTCTGTGAAATAGGACACATTCAGGTGTCCATGGGGCACGAGGTTCCCAGGACACATTGTTGTGTACAGCCCAGGTAGCTCCTGCTGCTACAACCCAGGGTAGCTCTCTGCTGGGCCTTCCTCAACTGATGACCTTTTCTCTAAGCCAGTTGCAGGGAAGGCCAGTTCCTCTGCCCATGAGAACTTGCCCTGTGGAGGGGATAAAGGTGGGAGCTAAGGGCTTAGGGCTCCAGGGGTCCTCAAACTACGGCCCGCGGGCCACATGCGGCCCACTGAGGACATTTATCTGGCCTGCCAGGTGTTTTTGCCCATTTTGTTTTTACTTCAAAATAAGATATGTGCAGTGTGCATAGGAATTTGTTCATAGTTTTTTTTTTAGACTATAGTCTGACCCTCCAACGGGTCTGAGGGACAGTGAACTGGCCCCCTGTTTAAAAAGTTTGAGGACCCCTAGCTTAGGCTAATAAATCAAGGCTGGGGCACCCAGGTGCATAATTTTCTCGCTGAGCCCCATGGGACCACGGTAAGCATAATGTGGGGTTTAGACCTGCTGAGTCATAGGAGCCAAGGGAGAGACCAGGGTTGGGAGTTTGGACCTGGCCTCCACTGCCACAGAATAGGTACCTTCTGGGCTGGCAGAGCAGTTAGCTCCAACCTCAAACAAGGTTACCATGGCTCACAGACATGCCATTGGATGTTGCCAGAATGGATATTAAACAGTACATACTTGTGATTTAAACAAAAAATGGTTGTCTGTGTTGAATATGCCTTTGACCTTGTCTTCCTCTGTTTTTGAGGAAATGATAAGAATGTCCAATGACTGTTTACTAACGTCAGACTCTGGTGGTAAGCACACTGGCCATGAACATGTTGCTGTCCTATTTGGCTATTCTGGACAGTTGTCACTTACAGGAGTGGACTATTCTTACACTGTGCCCTGAACTGGTAGAGGTACTTCCATCCCAGGAAGTTTCCGCACTCATCTCATATTTGCTTGATTTGTGGTTGGCAAAATGGCCCCTAACTGTGCTTTTTTAATGAATTCTGTGCTACTGGTAATTTTAAAAAGCAATCACCTTTTTTATATATTATAAACTACTAAAAATGATTTTATTTTTTAAGAGGTAGTCTAACTAATGGATGAAGCTGTGATATTTTTACTTTAACCTTAACCTTATTGGGCTTTAGCTATGTGACTTGATCAAGTTACTACTATCTGAGCCTCAGTTTCCTAGTCTGAATTGAGGAATAGCAATTCATAAAAATTTTTGAGAGGACTAAAAGTTCCATGTTTAATGCCATTTGGGACATGTCTGGTATGTAGTAGGTTCTCAGTAAATCTTAGCTGCTAATTGTGGTTGTGGTAGTTGACATTAAAGAATTTAAGATTCTTAGTCTTTTTTTTTCCTAAAGTAAAAATTTTAAGTTTTAATGTAACATATTGAAGATTGTTTCATTGTGAATGTCTTTATAGGGTTGCTATGAGTTGGCATGAACGTGATGATAGTTTATTTTTGGTTTTGTGATAAGGGTTAACAAGGCACCTTTTATACATAGACTGAATAGAGTTGTTTTATTTTAGGAATTTCTTCCTTTTCTCTCTGATTCTTGTGGTACATTACACCAGCTTTATCTTCAGATACACAGGTAAGAATAGCCATATGATTATTATAATTCGACAGGGTCATTTGTACCTCACAAAGTTTAAATGTATTTAATTTTTAAATAAAACAGTACTATCTTTCTTAATGATTGAGTAAATTCTTTGTAGCTTGCATTGCCTTGCATCTTCTCTAGTTGTCTTGGGGACTATACTCTAGCAGTCAATCCTAAATGGAAAGTATTCTTTCTTACGTCATCAGCGTTTACACCTCACTGGATCAATCTCCTGAATATACAAGCAGGCTGTTATTTCTCTCCTCTTCAGAACAATGCAGAACAAGTGAACATGACCTCTTGACTCTGCATCCTCATCCTCTACCAGCTGCTGCCTTCTATTTCTCCGCCTCTTTTTACAGCACAGCTTCTAGGTAGAGCTGCCTATACCACTGTTATTATTTTCTTTTTTGAAGCTGTTCCAGTCAGACCTTTCATTCCACCACCGCAAGGCAGGTCATCAGAGGTCCCATCAGTGATATATCCCGGCCAATTCTTAGGCTTTGTCTAGTGGCCTGAATTCTTAGCCATTAGCAACTGACCTTTCCTTTGGAACAGTTCATTCTGATGGTTTCTTCTGATCTCACTGGTTACTTTCTCTACATTCTTAGCAGCTTCCTTTCCAGCTTTTCTAATGTGGGTGTGCTTAATCCGTAGGACATTTTCTTTCCATCGGTGTTTGTTTGACCAGTTTACATGTATCTCTCTCTCCCCTGAGTGCTAGATTTCAATGTCTGACTGCCAGTCAGTACATCTCCACTTAAATTGCCCCAAACTGAACTCTGGATTCCTACTCCACCAAATGTTTACCCCAGTTAAAATGGCAACTTTACTTTCAAACGGAGTAGATTCAAATACCTTGTCATAATTTTGGACATCTTCCTCTTGTTCCCATCTTGCATCTACTCCTTTAAATTGTCTGTATTACTTTACTTTCAGAGAGAGAGAGAGAATATGAGTGTGTGTGTGTGTGTCTGTGCACCAAGATGCTTTCTATTTGATCCCACCCATTATTCTTTTTTGGTCTGCATTTTTATAAAAAACACCCTGTGCTATTTCTTCTTCCACCCTTGCCTTGGTATATTCTATACTCCATGCAGTGGCTTAAATAAGTGATAAAGGCATAACTCTTATCATACCTCTTTTGTGTTCAGATGCTGTACTTGTTTTCATCTGTACCAACTAGCCATCCTCTACAACAGGGTCAGCAAACTGGCTCTCGAGCCATAATGTGACACTTTAGGTAAATAAATACATGTGGCTCTGAGGTAAAAGTGAAAAATTTTGAAGGATGTTATTTAGATAATGGTGATTTCATTTGTAAAAATATATTTATAGCTCTCAAATAAATTTACCTTGTTGTGAGGGATAGGATTGGTTCTTCTGTCTCAAAAGTTTGCAGACCCCTGCACTAGAACCACCTCTCCACATTTCCATGTTTCAGTTTTCTCTTAATAGCATTTATTAACATCTACTTTATCATGTATTTACTTTCTTACTTAAATATCGCCTTCATTGGAATGTAAAGAAGAAGCACTGATTTTTTATATTGTTTACTTCTAGTTTACCACCTCCTGGAAAGAGGCACTTATCTAAACATTGATCATATAACTTAAAAATACATTATTTGATTGAGAAACTCAAATCATTTCCATAGTGTTTCTTAGCTGTGATTCAAGTCTTGGTGTTTTTTATCATTTGTGTACTACGGCTTTTACGTTACTTGTAATTTAATCCTTACAACAGCTTTTCAGTCAGTGTTACAGTCGAAGAATCTGAGGCTCAGGGAAGCCAAATGAAAGACCCAACTAATCATTGACAGATTACTGATTTTTTTTAAATTCTAAGAAGGTTTGAAGTGTTATGTGCATCCTTTCAACTGCTATTACCTCCTATTGACAGGCTTTCCACATATGCTGACAAGTTTCCCATAATTAAAATATCACAACAGAAAATACTAAATACTTTATTTCATGTAGATTTTTATTGAAGTTTTTAGTATAAAACCTAGTGTTTGAGTCACTTTTCAAGAAAAACCTTTGGGCCCTCCTTTAGTGCTGGTCCTCACATACAATTTGCTTCTTGTAAAGTTCTTGCTTTTGAGAAGTGACATTGATTTTTAGTAAATTTGGCATTCTACTTATTTTAAAACAACTTTTAAATAATGGTAAATAAGCCTGAAATTTTCATTAATGTATTTGTTTAAATGATGTTTTAATAGTTAATTTAAGATTCATGATTTTTTTAAGGACACAGGTGCCAAATGTAGTATTAAAATACAGCAAATAAGTCCAGAGATTTCTGTGAAATTATACACTCTTAATTTTGTGAGCGTGCATAGGTGAGCCAGCCTTGGTAGTACAGGATTGAAAACACTGGAATGGGATCCGGAAGTCAGCAGTTGAAACTCACCAGCCGTTCCTGCTTCTGTGAAGACGACAGCCTGGGAAGCCTCTGTGGGGACAGTCCACTTTGTCCGACAGTCATTAGGAGTCAGAACTGCTTTGATGAGCACAGGGTTGGTTTTGTGTAGTCACGTTATTTAGGTTAGAAATCTGTATATTACTTATGGTATTTATTCAGTAATTTGAAGTGTGTTTTCTGAAATGTATGCTACTGATTTTTTTTATATACCTTTAACTACTCCTTCATTAGGAAATAACTACTACAGTGTGGGGTTTTGTACCACTTCTCTTTCCAGTAAGTTTCCCCCAAGCCTGTATGCTGCCTCAGTTGCTACAGCACAGCGGGAGGAGATAGCAGGTACTTTCCTGGTGACCTTGGATCCCCTCCTCAGTCAGCTTCTCCCATTCCAGCCTTTTGTACAAGTGGTTTTACACAATAAATTAGGTAAGCTTCAAAATCAATTTCATGTTAAATCATCCTTTTTTCGATTATGACATATTAAAGACATGGCTCTTTTCCTTGTGTGGTCATTCTTTTTTAAAATGAAAAAAAATTTAATTTCCACTTTCTTTTTTAAAAGTCTTTATTTACATATTTATATATTGCATATAACGAAATTCTACTGAAAAGACTTAGGGAATGTTTTTACCAATTTGTTGTAACTTGCTATGTTTGAATACCCCTCAGATCTGCCATGTGAACTACAGTTCCCACAATGCCTTCTTCTGGTGGCGGTCCTGAATAAGCTGCCTTCCCAGCCTGAGGATGTGCAGATGCTGTGGTGTGCAGGGAGCCCAGTCACAGAAGCTACGAGCAGGTAGCAACGATGCTGGTTATAATCCAGGTGGTTTGTTGTCTGAATGTGCTGCTGTTCAAAATGGTCTTGCAGTTTGTTGGTATGACAGATCTTCTAGTTCATCTATACGATGTAAACTTCATATATACATATGAAGTGTGTATATATGAGCTTTATATACATATATGAAGTTTACATGTATTTATTATGTATAATATAAAATATGTGAGGCTAGATTAATAAAATACATTAAGTATATATAATAATGCTAAAACATTTTAAAATTCTATTCAGTGATTTAGAAGGCCTTCCTTAGTGGTTAATATTTCTAACATTGATGATAATATAATTGAGTAGATGTGCTAGGTACTATAAGTTTTCCTGGGAAATTTCTCTGTGTCAGTCTGCCTGGCCATTACCATAATCCAGGACCTAGTTTCTTACTGCCTGGATCATTGCAGTGCCAAGTTTTTCACTTTTTCTTTAGACAGCCTAAACCACCACCTGCTGTTCTGCTCAGTAACGAAAACATAATCTCTGAGTTCTATAGCTTTGTATAAAAAGTCTATTTCTTTTTTTACCTTTTGACATTTCATTGCCCTTTTGTTGAAAGCTTACGTAACAATTTAGTTTTCCCAATAAGTAGCTCATGCGCAAATCGTTCCTTGACCTAGGTTTCTGAAACCCTTTCTGGTCTTTTGGTGTCTGGTGTTACTCCTCATCCCTTCACTTACTTTGTTCAACATCATTGCTTCCATCAGACTGGTTGGCCATGTCTGCCTCTTACTCACGCTTTGTCTTTATCTAATTGTATCATCCACTTTTAAAGTTGTTATTTGAATCCCTTGTGAGGGTTTCTTTAGTCATTTCAATGAATGTGACCTCTCTCTGTTTAAACTATAACTGTGTTCTGCTGTTTACATTGATTCTGTTTTAACCATTTGATTTGTGTGGGTTTTTTAAAGCAGTTTTATTGGCACCTCATCCACATATCATCATATAATTCAATAGAGAAATCTTATCAAGAACTGTACAATCATTACCACAATTAATTTTAGAAGCCCCCCACCCCTAGTTTAATCACTTTTAAAATGAGTTGTGTATTCGCAGTCAGTTCTAGGGCTCCCTTCCTTCCCCATCTGCCTTCATTTACTCCTCAAATCACCTTACACTTCCTGTCTCCCACCCCGACTCAGACATCCCCTAAAACTCTTGCGTCAGTTATTAGCTCTGTGCTTCACAACTGAGAAACCCAACAAACAATAAAAATAAAAATGAAGTGGTAAGGATAAAATAATATTAAGATAAAAATACAAATACAAATATTGAGTAAGAAAGACAAGTCAGTATGTAAAGCCATTTAAGTTTTGTTAGGATTAGGGTGGAAAAAAAACATTAAAATTTTAAGTTCCTTAAGGAACTTTTTCTTTCACTGTGTATAGCTCATAGCTTTGCCCCTTGTATTTGCTGGGGCTTCAGAAAATTAGTAGAAATATTGAATGAAAAGATAGTAATTTTTTTCCCCATGAACTTTTGGATCCCCCTCGAACAATGTATTAAGAAAGTATTGTTACTAGGGCTCCAGTTTATGCACCCACAAGTTTATTCCAAACAAAATGTGTTTAAACTGCCTCTGTGATCAGTGGATGGCTACAGATAAGTTCTCTCAGTAATACAGCTGTCTCATTAGAGCGCCTCATTAGAATGTCCATAAAAAGATCCAATGCAAACAGGCTTTCCAGAGGATCTGCTGGGTCAGTTAAATTCAAGGCAGAGAGACTGTTTTTTGGTATTTCAAAGGGCTTATCTTGATAGATTTTTCTCTAAGGACATATTACAATCATGAGGGATTATTTATTCTATGAAGAAGCTTTAAAACAATGGAAAAGTGCACTGGTGACAGGAAGGCCAGGAAAACTACGCTGAGGAATTTTTCTCTCTCTCATGGCAGCAGTGCACCCATTAATTTTTCAAAAGTAGCAAGGTCTGTACTATCGGAATTTTGTTAGATATCATTACCCTCCCCACCGTACAGCCCTGATGTCATTTGCCCCTTCTGATTTCTTTTTGTTCCCCAGACTCAAGAATGTTTCAAAGGAGGAGAGTTTCAGTCCCTTGAGGGTGCTGTTTTGGTGTGGTATAAATTGAGGAGCCCAGAATTCTTTGGGAAAGGCTTAGAGAGATGGAAACATCATCTTTAGAAGTAGAAGATATGTTGAAAAACAATATCTTTCATATTTTGATATTTATATAAGTTTCTCTGATATTACTTTTTGACTTCCTCTTGTACTTGGTAAATGATTTAAAATGTGCAGAGAAATGCTTCTCTGTTAGTCATTGTATTTTATTTTTATGTGTGAATATTCACTAATTGGAAACTATTGTTAATGCATACCTCTTAAGGCATAAGCTTGACAAAAATAACCTTAAATATCAGATTATTACTGTCATACCTGCAAGTTACTAATTATTAATATTAAATTCAATGTTCTCGATTTCCTTGCAGGATATCGCTACTCGAAGCCATTTTCTACAGTTTTGAGCAGTGTTCTGGTGAACTCTCTCTACCTGTTCGTGTACAGGGAGTAGAAAGTAAAGGGCAAGCCCAGGTTGCTGTCACATTGTATCAGCATGTTTGTGTTCACCTGTGTGCATTTATTGCTTCCTCTCATCCATCACTTTTTCCTGAACTGGTAAGCTGTTTATTTACTTGTCAGGCTAAGCTGAAGTTACTCTCTTGTTCATTGATAGGATTTAGAAATAAAATATGGGAAAGTTGACATGTATTCTTATACATTGTATCTTTTTAATTTACTTATAGCTGAAGAAATGACTATACTAGATTCTTATACCATTCAGAACTAGAATTTAGCTGAAATGTTTGGGAAAACATTTGGGAAGGAAGGTATGGAAAGACTGGAAAAAGGAGTTTACCTAAGTCAGTTTCATAAAGAAAAAAATGATATTATGTTGTACCAGATGGTCTATAGGTCTTAGGCATAATGCAGTTTTTTGCTGTAATTTCTATTGTTTATTTTTATGATATTGGATTAGAAAAGAGGTTAAGACAATCCTGGGGGAAGTTCTTAGAATCTAGGTAAATATCATATTGTACCAATGGGTAATAGAAAACAAACCCACTGCCACTGAGTTGATTCTCACTTATAGCAAGTCCTGTAGAGGGTTTCCAAGGCTGGAAATCTTTATGGGAGCAGGTAACCTTATCGTTCTCCCTCAGGATGGTGGATTTGAACTATTGCTGTTGTGAATACTTATTCAACAGATAGCCAGCAGATATATAATATTTATATGAATACTTTAAAGGCAGAGATAGCAGTGTAGGCATATTTATTATATGCATTGTTTTAACAACTTCAGGCTACTTAGAATATCTCTAGTAGTGGTTAATTTATTACATTTTAAACCACTTTTGAATTCTCATAGGCCAGTACTAATAGCACGTGCCCAATAAATTAGGTTCTTTCAGATACTAAGAAGTAGAAGGTCCCTTATGAGGAACTGTTATTTGAATTTTGCTAGTGCTTTCTTGTTTTAGTTTGAGTAATTTCATATGAATAATAATTATTATTGTGAATTTTGGGTTATAAGTAAGTCACCATGGCTTTTCTGTTTCTCTTTAGGATGCTGCACTATTGAACACTGTGCTAAGTGCTACAATGATCACCTCTTTGTTAGCTATGGACGCTTGGTGCTTCCTTGCTCGGTATAGCATACTTGAATTTTTTATTTTTAGATTGATTTATGGTAGTGACTGACAGTAAATGACTTTGTACTTTTAAGTTTTACAGAAAAAAAAATCTATTTAATTCCTGAATAGTCTGTCCAAAATGATTTTTCTATCACAGCACTAAATTAAGAAGTCATTTCCTTCTCCCTTTTCTTAGATTTAGGCCATTAGATGTACAGTTTTGTATACATTCTGATACTCCTTGGCCATGGAAATACTGCCGTTCATATGCCCCTGTCAGAATATTTGGTACGCTGTGAGAATGCATCTTTTCCCCTTTCCGAGCAGTTGTGTAAACCTGATTGCCTTTTCTCTCTGTCTCAGATATGGTACTGCTGAACTCTGTGCACACCATGTCACCATAGTGGCTCATCTGGTGAGTAGAATACAAGACAGAAAACACACTCTTTCCAACTAGTTCTTTTAGGACATAGTCTTAAATGATGGGAAAATAAAAGAGAAATAGGCATTTTCTTCGTTAATGGTTACGTTATTGAGAAAGACATATTAGAACAATATGTAAATCTGGGGAAACTAGAGTTTATAAAATCTTTGAAGAATGCTTCCATCTTGTAGAGTTGGAGGATTAATACATCAAATGGTAATTAATAAATAAAAATGACAAGTATTATTTTTAATCATAATGCTCATTTTTCTCATTGTGAAAGTAATACAAAATCACTGAAGAAAGAAACGCCCAAATTAAAATCGGAATTGATTCAGTGGTAGTGGTTGAGTTATGATTACTGGTAATATTTTGCCATATACTTTTCATGTAAAGCCTATAATTTTAAACCAATCAAATATCTCTTCTTCCTACTTTCCTTTCTTCTTTTTCTCCTGTTTTTTGTTTTTTTTTTTCATCCCCAGATAAAATCTTGCCCTGGAGAGTGTTACCAACGTATCAACTTGTCAGTACTGTTGAGGCGTCTATTCTTCTTCATGGCCCCACCCCACCAGGCACGTATGCCATCGTCACTCTTTTCTAACAACGGGAAAAGTGGTTTTCCCCAACTGATTCTAAACTCAATGTTGACATAATCTTTTGATGCTGTTGCTATCGATTGACATGTACAGTTTGATATTCTTGTGCTATTAATTACCATATATATTCGTGTATAAGCTGAGTTTTTCAGCATATTTTTTTATGCAGTTTTTGTGGTAAAATTAGGTGCCTGCTGATATTTGGGTCGGCTTATACTCGAGTATGTATGTACTCTTAACTTCTGAGATATATCTTTACTCTCATTTTTTATACATTTAAGAAATGGAATGGCTTTATGTCTTCTGCACTTTTAATGTTACTTTGAAGATCTAAATGTTATTTATTTCTTTATTGATAGCTCTTATTTTTTATAGTAAGTCAGTTTAATTTCTAGGATAATATTAAAAGCATAATAAGCCTTAGTTTGCCTTTGGGAGGAAAGCAAACTCTGCTGTGATAGAAGAAATTGCTGAGTTATATGAGCCAGTGTTGGGCAGCCCCATGAACTGAATGTATCAGAACTCCTGTTGAGCTTTCTAAAATGTGGGTTCCTGTAACCTAACCTGTGGATGAAGTGGTCATAGAGGCTTTGGTATAGAGTGGGCTTGGGGCGGTGGTGGTGTCTTTAAGTTCCTATGAGATTCTAATGTGGGGCAAAACTTGGAAACCATTAGGTTTCACTTTAGGTCCTATGGCACTTGGTTTAAATCCTGCCTTACTGTGACCTTAAACAGGTTATCCTTTCTGAACTTCAGTTTTCTGTCTAGAAGGTAGATGGTGTATGTGGGTATCTACTTTGAAATATTATGGAAAGACTTAGAATAGCTGCAAAAAACAGGCTAGGGCCAACTTCAAGAGAAGTCCTCAGTAAGTGCTATGGGTTATTTCTGACTAGATTATTTGCCCCACATTATGCTGCTTCCCTGCCCTGGAGAAGTTGGCCAGGCACTGGGAACCACACTAACCTCCTGATCCCCCTCCTCAGAGATAGCTTCACGATGGGGAGCCCACCAGTCTCACCTGTTAGCCCGCTAGAAAGCATGTAAGGCATGTGCCAAAACTACAAGAGTTGTCTAATCCAGTTTTTAAATATTCTAATCCCTTTCACTTTCCTATCTGAGTTTGGGCCCTTGATTCCTGATACATTTTTCTCCATAGAGGCCCTATGAACTGGGAGGTATTTTGAAGAAGCCAGGTTGGGGTGGGGTGGGGGGGCGGGGATAGAAAGGTGGTATGATGGAGCTTAGCTTTCACTGGCCAATCTAGCCATGTGACCTTATGCAAGTCACTTAGATTGTAGCATCAATTTTCTCATTTAAAAATTACCTTTTACCCAGGGTTGTTATGAAAATTTAATTTTTGGAATAATCCAATTTAGCATGAAGCAGCTCTAAGACTAGAAGCTGAATTTATTTAAGTGGTACAGTTTTGGGAATTTCATTTTGAATATTCTAAGTTTTCTAAATTACTCCCAATAATGGAGCCTATCAGATATGTGGGTTATGGGTAAATGAGGGGCTACTTTTAATTTGTTACTTCAGTCATTAAATATTGGTTTCCACTGTAATTTAAGATTAAAAGACTAACCTAAATTTGAATTCTTGTTCTAGCTGAAATCCCTTGGGAAAATTGGCTCATCATAAAATTGAGATGGTATTGCTTACTTTGTACATAATCAAGACTTAGGGAGATAGGTTGTATCTATGGCATTTAATAAATGGTAGTTATTTCTTCTGTTCCACTTGAATTTTTTCCTTTCACTGTAAGGCATAGCTAGGAAGGAGGAAGAGGACTGCCACTTTGGACACAATTAAGCACCAAGCTTTGTTCTAGTCATGCTTACTTGCTTTGTCTTCAGAATTGCCCTGTGAGATAGATGTGCCTATTTTGCAGATGATGAAATAGTAGCTCGGGGAAGTAAAAGACCCTCCCTAAACTCATATGCAATAAATGGCTGAGCTGAGATTCAAAACCAGATCTGTCTTACTCCATAGTCTGTGCTCTTTCCACTGCTCCACTATTTTCTCCAGCAGCAGCTCATTAGGGACCTCTTCTGTTTGTGGAATATTGATTCTACCCTCTTGTCCCTTTAAATCAAAAGAAAATCAATTTGGCACATAACAACATCTCTTCATTTTTAGTAATGAATAGTCGCTTAAAATAAAAAGCTTTGTACTGTTATAGCCTGCCTATCAAAAAACATAATCTAAAAGAAATGAACACATTTATGAAAATAATTCATAATAAAAGATCACATGATGAATGCCAAAAATAAGACAAAAATCAGATTTTGTTCAGTTTAGCTTAGAAGATCACGTTTGGAGAGATGTGATTTGGGAGCAGGTAGGAATAGAGGTGTGTGTGTGGGGAACCTCTTAGAGATGGTGGCATTTGAGACACATGTAAAAGGATGAGTGAAAAATTGGGAGAGGTTGTGATAATGAACAAAGATGAGAAGACAGGCTGGGGCCGCCAAGAGAAGCAAGTGATGAAGCCAGTAATGGTTATTCAGTCAATCTGTGTACAAGATGGCTCCTCTTTAAATAGTGAAATAAAACCCAAACTTTATATCAATGATGTACCATTAACATAAATGAAAATATTTTACTTAAAAACAAATATGATCATCATTTGGGGGGAAATGCCAATATATAGGGATTAAAATAATACCATTTCACTATAGGAAGTAACTTTTGAATATCACATTTCTTTTAGTGGCTAATAGAAGGGAAAACACAGGAAAGTTACTTGAGGGAAAAGATCAATGATGCCTTACTTAAACACACTGGTAGTTGTGCTTCCATTTTTATGTAATGTAGAAGTTTTTAGACTTATTATTGCGCGCGCGCACACACACACACACACACACACACACACCCGGTGGCACAGCGGGTTGAGCATTGGGCTGCTAGCCCCAGGGTCAGAAGTTGGAAACTACTAGCTGCTTCTTGGGAGAAAGGTGAAGTTTTCTGCTTCTGTTAAGATTTACCATCTCAGAAACCCACAGGGGCAGTTCTACTCTGGCCTGCGGGGTTGCTATATGTCAGAATCGACTCAGTGACATATGGATACATATCTCAGTTTTTAAGAAAGAAAGTCTTGTAAGAACTGTTTCCATCAGTTCTAGCAGTTTTATATCTTTAAAATTGTATTAAGACCTTGACTGGTTTTAAATTGTATTAAAACACTCCTAAAGGTCAACAAATAGACCTGGAACTATTTATAGGTTTTTCTTTCTTTTGTTTTGCTTTGTCTTTTGTGCTTTTTATAATCTCTGCTTGTCTATCAATCCATAAGAGACAACTGTCTACTGGACCAACGGTTCCAGTGGAGGACACTAGAGAGGGGGAGAACGGGGTAAAGGAAGTGGGGTATCAACAAACCCAGAGAGAAGAGAACAAGTGTGTTAGTCTGGGTAGACTAGAGAAACAAGTCATGGACACCCATATGTGTATAAGAAAGAGATTTATAAACAAGAGCAGTTGGACATTGAGAAAACATCCCAGCCCAGTCCAGATCAAGTCCAAAAGTCCGACATTAGCCCATATGTCCGACAGCAATCCATAAAGTCCTCTTCAGATGCATGAAACACATACAATGATGCCGAATGCAGGATGATCACAGGCCAGTGGGTAGAAAATCTTTGGATCCAGTGGCACGGTAAGCATCTCAGCGCTGGCAGGGGTCTCTTTGTGGCTCTTCCAGCTTCAGAGGTCTTGTCAACTTCAATGTCTCTCAGGGAGTAGTAGAGAGAGTGTGTCTCTCCTGCTTCCGAGAAGGAATTACCAGGTTTTCCAGAATTCTCAGCAGAAGGCCATGCCTACATAGAAATCTCATTGGCTATCTCCAGATTGACAGCCTAGACTCCACCCCTATACTCTTAATCCTCAAAATGACACCAGATTAGGTGAGTACCACAACAAGTGATCTAAAATCAATGGCGAGGAGGTGTAGCATACCTGGTGGGGCTTGATCAAGGCCAATGATCTAGCCGAGAGGAATTTCTGAAACCCAAATGAAGGCCAAACTTGATAGTGGGAAGAGGAAAGTAAAAGGAAATAGAGGAAAGAACTAGGAGGCAAAAGACATGTATAGAGGTCTAAATACAGACATGTACATACGCAGCTATATATATAATGATAGGGAAATAGACTTATGTACATATATTTATATGTTAAGTATTAAGGTAGCAGATGGACATTGGGCTTCTACTTAAGCCCTCCCTCAACGCAAGAACACTTTGTCCTAATAACCCGGCATTCTGAGATGCTCATCTTCCCGACAGGATTGCTGAATACAAAATGGGTGCATAAGCAAATGTAGTGAAGAAAGCTGATGACGCCTGGCTATCAAAAGATATAGTGTCTGGGCTCTTAAAGGCTTGAGGATAAACAAGTGGCCTTCTAGCTGAGAAGCAACAAAACTCACATGGAAGAATCATACCACTCTGTGTGAACATGAGGTGTTGATGGGATCAGATACCAGGCATCAAAGACCCAGAACAAAAAAATCATATCCATGTGATTGAGGGGGAAGGCGGAGTGGTGACCCAAAGTGCATTTGTAGACAATTGGACATCCCTTACAGAAGGGTCACAAGGAAGAGATGAGCCAGTCGGGTTGTAGTATAGCACCAATGAAATATACTGTTTTCCTCTAATTCTTTAATACTTCCTCCTGCCCCACTATCGTGACCCCAGTTCTACCTTACAAATCCGGCTAGACCAGAACATGTACACTGATACAGGGAATCCAGGACAGATAACCAACCCCCTCAGGACCAATAATGAGAGTAGCAATACCAGGAGGGGAAGGGGAAGATGCAGGGAGATAGGGGGAACTGATCACAATGATCTACATATAACCCCCTCCCAGGAGGATGGATAACAGAAAAGTGGGTGAAGGGAGACATGTTAGTATAAGACATGAAAAAAAAAATTATCAAGGGTTCATGGGGGGTGGCGGGTAATGAGCTGATACCAAGGGTTCAAGTAGAAAATGTTTTGAAAATGATGGCAACATATGTACAAATGTATTTGACACAATGGATGGATGTATGGATTGTGATAAGAGCTATAAGCCCCCCAAAAATGATTTAAAATGGAAAAAAAAGTAAGACCAAGGTTTTTGACTTCAGAATTGAATGTTTTAACTCTATGTAAACGATTTGGAATACCTACACTTTTATGTTTCTGGGGCATCGTTATTTTTAGTTCTTATTTTGTTAAGGGAACTAGTTAATTCATTAATTGGAATTATAAAGAAAAGTGACTTTTTTTAGACACATTTTTCTTGCTATAATATGTGTCACAGCACAAAGTCACATGATTTCTACCACATTTTGACACTAGATATCTGCAAAAGACATCATTTGAAATTAAATGTATATGACAGGAAATTTCTGTCAAATTTAATACAAGGGAGCTTCAAAACACCATAATCTTTAAAAAAATAGTTTGAGATATAGTTAACATCAATCATACTTCCATTATCTTTTAATTCTAGTTTCCACAGACATTTTGTAGCCCCTTTTATATAACATTGCATTGTTCTAGGCTTAAATCAGGTTTTTTTAAGAGCTTTTGGGGTAAGATAGATGTTAATTTATCAAGATTTTACATACTGTAATCTGAATTATATCACTGCTTTAAAAATGTATGTAGTAGTTAGATCAGTGGTTCTCAACCTGTGGGTTGCTTGCAACCCCTTTTGGGGCCACCCGATTCATAACAGTAGCAAAATGACAGTTATGAAGTAGCAATGAGAATAATGTTATGGTTGGGGGTCACCACAACATAAGGAACTGTATTAAAGGGTCGCGGCATTAGGAAGGTTGAGAAACCACTGAGTTAGTTTATACTTAACTGAATAATTAAAGGCACCATTATTTTTACTCTTTTTTTTATCCATACCTAATGTAACATAAACTCCGTGCCCACTGAGCTGCGTATCTAACCTTTCAAGTTACTGTATAGGCACTTCTTTAAAAGAGCACCATGCTTAAAGCAGACATTTTTACTAATTAGCTAAACTGTTGTTTGATTTTAAAAAGACTTGTGGGCATAGTTTTGGTTTAAGACTTAAGAGATTTTTGCTGGGCATTAAGTTGGGGTGGGGGCCATTCAGCCTCTGTAGCTCCAGGTGATACCTGCATTTTCACCAAATAGTTGCTTCACTGTTAACTCTGAGAAGTATTTCCATGTTAGAAAGGATATGCCAGCCATACTTTCTGATAATGGATGCATTTACATTGTGAAACTTAATTTAGCATGTTGTCTGTAGCTATGAAATAGTCTAGAGTAAAGCTGACTACCCCATTTGGAAATGGAACCTCTAATACTTCTAAATGTTCCTTCATTGTCACCTGAGATCACAGTAAGCCACAGAGGTTTGCTAAATTGATTTTGTTGGCCAGTTTGTGCTTTTGACTATTCTAAAGGTGATGAGTATTCATATATGTAGTAAAGTAAGACACCAGAGGGCTATAGGACATGATTAAAATATCTGACTAACAATAAAATACATTACTTAGCATTTCCTAATGCATTTCTCCTGTGCGTCACTTAAACTATGTTTATCATTTTGGAAACAAAGAGGCAGTCACCACAAAAGCAATGTTTGTAGTTAATCTGGAAAGCTGACTTTGAAGTTTTGCCTCATATTTGTCAGACTGTCTCATACTACTCTTATTTTCTTAACAATTTATCTCAGGTGGAGTTTATCCAGAAATTTCCCCCACAAGCAGCAGAAAACTTATGTCTATGGCAGTATATTTCCTTCCAGGCTTTATCTGCTGACCTTCGGAAACAAATAGCAACCGAGGTCACCAGAGTGGGCACCACCCAGTGCCGGGAATGGCTGAGCAGTAGTCGCACTCTGGGAGAACTTGAGTCTCTGGTAAGAGGAGTTTGATTAATTTGATTCACTCAGTAGTTATTTATTGAGCACTGTCTTGAGTACTGGGGCAAGGCTGTAAGACAGATAGATACAGTCATTTTCCTAAGGTTGGACTTAAGCTGAGTTTTCAGGTTTCTAAATTGTAAAAGGATCTGTGGGAAACTTAACTATTATCTAGCTTGAGGTGAATTGTACTTTATGGTGGGTGGGACCTGAAAGGGAAGTGGTCCCTTTGTTTTAAAATACATTGATGTAAAATTAGAAACATTGTGGTGTATTTTGTGATATTATTGCTGATGTATCTGATTCATCTTTATGTCAAAAAGACACGGATATGATTTTTCTAATTGACAAAATGCAACTCCCAGTTTTGCAAACCTACTCTTAAAGCCTTTATGTACTGTTCTACTTAGAAAAGAGTAATGGAATAAAAGAAGTATTGACTATAAGAAGTAGCCAATATGACTTAAATTTTCCAGTTTAGTGCTCATTCATGCATTCATTTAGCAAATAGTTCTTGAATGATACTATGTGCCAAATATTGCTTTGTGCTGGGTATTGGGAATATATCAGGGATGAAAACAAAAACTAGTCTTGTATTGCATTCTAGTTTAGCAGTGTACAGTACAGTAGTAATTTTTCTTAGTATGATATTTACTTATTGAGTGTATTCTTCCTGGGGATTTTAAAGATTACTTGTAAAACAGCAGCAGCCATGAGGGTAGGGGTAACCGATCACAATGATCGACATACAACCTTCCTTACCCAGGGTGACGAACAACAGAAACATGGGTGAAAGGAGACAGCAGATGGTGTAAGATATGAAAATGATAATAATTTATAATTTATCAAGGGTTCATGAGGGTGAGAGAATGGGGTAGGGAAGAAAAAAATGAACTGATACCAAGGGCTCAAGCAGATAAAAATGTTTTGAAAAGGATGATGACAACATGAAAAAATGCGCTTGACACAGTGGATGTCTGGATTGTTAAAAGAGCTGTAAGAGCCAACAATAAAATGATTAAAAAAACAGCAGCAGCAGTAAAAATTAAGAGTGAAATAGATTGTTGGGGCCTATAATGTGAACAATAAGTTATAGTTCATGAACATTGTGAATTAACTTGACTGTATTATTTGAATTAAACCTACTTATTAAAATGATTTTTTCCTTCAAGTTATTAAAATTTTATCCTGAAAGTTAACATTTTAGAAAAATGAATAAAAATTTTTTTATGCATATTTAAAATTGGTTTTAGAAAATACTTTTTTAAATAGCTGAAAAATGGCTTCAACTCTTTGGAATATTATTCTTTACGGGTTTTTATTAAGAATTTCTAGAAACTTATTAACTCTGAGTAATTGGGCTCCTGGGATTCGCTGAAGGCTAAACTTGGGGCCTTGTCTTCTCTCCCTTTTAGAACACAGCCCTCTCTGCTTTGCTTACTGTGTGTAACTCTGCTGGCGAAACTTTGGACATTAGACAACAAACTGCAATTACTGAAGTAGGGAGCCAACTTTGGGTATTTTTAAGAATTAAACAGGTAAGAAAAGAAACAAGATTAAATAAAAAGACTATTGCAAAAAGTGGTATTAACATTTTCCTGTAAAATCAACTGTGTCTTTTCTCTAGGTGTTTAGAATTTGTGGGTAAGAATTTAGAATCATCTCTTTTTCAGACAGGTCTCATTCTCAGTGTGGTGAATGTTATCAGTACAACTAAAACTCAGTAGGTGTCACAGTGATGGTTTTTCTAACTTTTTGTGCCTGGGAGTTAGAGTTTATCTCTCTTCTACTAAGTATGTCTGTTCTCTCTTGGTAAATGTAATCCATTTTTTTATAGGATATTTTGGGCAGCAAGAAGTTGTGTGGCTTCTTAAGGGAGAAGGGGGCCAATGAGTGGCTGTGGCTACTTCATATATTCTTTTCTAGCAAAACTTTTAAGTCTAGTGAATTAGAATGATGTTTGCCTACCACATGATTGTAAATGTACCTTCACCAGGTTTCTGGATTTTAAAACTAAAATATATATGACATTTGTTTATTTTGACTAGGTATAAGTAAATATATGACCTCTAGTTATCCTAGACAGTGGAAGCTGAAGACAAAATTCAGATTTGGAGGGATAGATTTTGCAGTTGTTTTATCATTAATGTTTACATATGGTTAGATTCCTTACTGTTACATTTTGACCTTAACAAGTGCTTTTCAGCAGTGTTCACAAATTAAGCAAATATTGAGTGCTGATATATGCTATAAACAATAATTATGCAAAAGGGAAATTTTTAAAAGACTAAGATACATACGTTTTCCAATGGCAAAGAAAAGCATTTATATCCCATTTTGAGTTAAATGTCTTTTTCCTAGTTTGTGTGATTTTGAGAAAAAGATCAAGCGAGTACCCTTTCTGACCCTGCTTCCTCATTAGGCGCCACTATGAGTCAGAATAGACCCAAGTGCAGTGGGTTGGCATTTTGTGTTTAAATGTAAGTGATGATATCTACCTCATGTTGTTATTGTCAAGCATAAGTGAGGTCATAAATACAAGACTATAGTTCCTCAAACAAAAAAACCCAAATTCATTGCCATTGAGTTGATTCCAACACGATAGGAGAGGATAGAACTGCCCCTGTGAGTTGCTGAGACTGTAACTCTTTATGGGAGTATAAGCATCACCTTTTTATTAAGCATAAATGAGGTCATAAATATAAAAATATATTTCTTTGTGTATAATAAATGCTTAGTAAATTATATTCTTACATAATTGAACGTTTTTACCAAAATTGTTTTGTATTTGTTTTTTAAGGTAGTAAGTCAACCTTATGCTCAACGAACACTAAGCCTTTTACTTCCACTATTGGGATTTTTCATTCAGACTCTAGATCCTCAGGTAACCAGTCAGGTAAGACTAGTAAGCAAGTAGAAATGTCATTTGCTTCAGGAAGTTCTTAAACTGGCATGACTTTACTTTCTAGAGATGATGGTGCTTTTTTATTGTTCACTGCTTGCTACCCAGAACTGAACATAAACTTTACATACTTACTTGGCTTTTTCAAGGATATTTCATTGTTTTTCTTCTTCTTTTAGTAGGTATTTTACTGTAACGGTCTGCTGATTCAGCCTTAATGTAGGGGTATTCAGAAAGTACTGCTATAAAATCTTAGAAATCTTTAGTAAACAAAATGTCAAAATCTGATGCTATTATTTCTCAACATACCCAACATCTAGGTTTATACACTTCTGAAGCTAATGTTTCTATCTCTCTAACCCTCTCCCTCTTGAATTTAACTGACTCTGCAAATCCTCTTGGACCATTGTTTTGATTAAACTTCTTTTGAAGGCTCCCTAACAAGTGTTTCACTGAGAAAGCTTGAGTAATACACTAAGACAAGTGTATTACTGAGAGCACTGTCTCCAGCGATCAAGTGATCAGAGATACAGGTTTAAACACATTTTATTTGGAATAAACCCATGTTGAACTGGTATCCTAGTAGCAGTACATTTTGGATGACCAGACTATATACGACAGGGCACCCCCACCCCCACTCCTCAAATGGAAAAAAACTCTGATAGGCGGAACTTTCATAGTACGCATTTTTCTCGCTGGGTGAGCATGAAGCTAGGTGTGCATCGAGCTAGGCGAGCATTGAATTTCATTCAGAGTGCACCTGGTGGCATTGCCTGGGAAGGTTCTTTTTGGACTCAGTGAATATTTTCACAAAAGCAGTTTTGCTCAAATTTTGTTTTTTATGATGACCAATTTAACAGAACAGCGTGTGGCTGTGAAATTTTGTTTCCCACTTGGGAAAAATGGCACAGAAACCGTTGTGATGTTGAACACAGCTTACAAGGATAGATCTATGGGAAAAACCCTCGTGTGTACAAGTGGTTTTGTTGTTTCAGAAATGGTGAAATGTTGATTGATGACAAACCCCGTTCTGGATGTACGTCAATTTCCTGAATGTGACGAAAATGTGTGCCCTTGTGCTCGAAGACCCATGACAGACCATTGAAGAGATGGGGTAGTTTTCTGGACTGTCTTGGAGCTTGGTTCAGCAAATTGTAATGGGAGACTTGGGAATGAGAAAAGTCACTGTGAAATTTGTGCCCTGGGTTCTGACTGACTAGGAAAATGAGTGTCGACTGGAAACATGCCGTGCTTTGAAAGAACAGCTCTGAAGCAACCCAGACTTTTTCTCCAGGTCATTGCTGGTGACGAGACATGGTGCTGTTCTAGGACCCCGAAAGCAAGCATCAGTCAAGCCAATGGAAGATGCCATGGTCACTTCAACCACAAAAAGTCCGTCAAGTGAAATCAAAGATCAAGACAGTGCTCTTTTTTTTTTTTTTTAATGTGAAGGGGATAGTGTATTTAGAGTTTGTTCCACCAGGTCAGACTGTTAATCAAGCCTGGTTTGTGGCAGGTAGACGGGGGACTGGTTTTGCTACCATGACAATGCACCTTCTCATGCAGCAATCTCAGCGCAAGTTTTTGGCAAAAAAACAGCATGCCTCTCTTGTTCCATGCACCTTACTCACCTGATCTTGGTGTGACTTTTTTTTCATTTTCTGAGAATGAAAAGCAACATGAAAGGGCAGCGATTTGATGACATAGACGAGGTGAAGAAAAAAACGAGGGAGGTGCTTTCAGCCATCCAAACAGATGAGTTTGGAAAAATGTTTCCAAGAATGGAATCTCAGATTTGACAATTGTATTAAGTGTAATAGAGAGTAGTTTGAAAGTGATAAGCTTGTTTTGTAAAAAAAATTTAAATGCATAGCTTTTAAAGAATCTATTTTTGGGGGGGTACTCCTTGTATATTTGTTTCCTCTCTGATATTGAGCATGTAAAAAAGGCATTGTGGGGGGGAGTCGGGGGAGGTATCTTCACATCATTTTGCAGCCTCCTATGGCTTCACAAGCTGGGGAGGGAGAATAAAGCTCAGAACTAGCCCAAGATTTATTCTTCTTTGGCTGGAGTCAGACTTGTCTCCACTTTTATCCTTTGCCTATTTTGACACCAACCATCCCTCCCACAGCACTTTGTATTTCCCAGCTGAGTTATAGAATTCTTTCCAGTGGCCATACAACTCTTAAAAACATGCTCACAATTATGAGCTCTATTAGGGAAATTTATAGATTACAATTCAGCATCAGAAATGCTCAGGACATAGTTCTTTCAGAACAATTTGTCTTCTCTGGCCCTTGGCCTCTCAGCTGTTTGACAAAGGGCAAGTTTACAAAGTTCTTTTAGTGCTGCTTACTGCTAAAAATAACAAACAAATACACCACATCATCAGCCTTAGACTAAAAGCATTCAGCTCTAGTTTCTCTGGGCCAGCAAACATAGCCTCCCCTAATTAAGTGCCTAGAGGCAGCCCCCTCTTGCAAGAAGGCCCTCGACTTTACTTACTCTGGGCTGGGAAGGCCACTGCCCGTTCATTTTCTTAATTCTGCTGCTGCTGCTCGGTCTCATACTCTGGCTCTTGGTTCTTCTGCTACCTTTCTTCCGCCACTTTTCTGGTGTCAGACTTTCTGCCCCCGGATTCTGTCAAGGATCTTGAGAAATGCTCCACTCCTGGTTCTTCAGGGTGGTACTGACATATCCCTCTTGCTTCTCAGAGGGCTCATTTTATATCCACCAGGATGGCTAAATTGACTAATCTCCACATTAGAGTTCCAAGTTTTTTACAATCAGTTAACCCTATTAAGATTAGTCACAATTGAATCATATACTTTGTCAGCATCTTCCTCCACCTTCTACCCAGACCTATCAGGGGAAAAAAATCATTCAGTGAAAGTTAGACTACGGTTAGAAAGGCCTAATCAAATAATTTACCATCCCACAAGAAGTTACTTCTTTGTTGCTGTTGACTGCCCAAGAACAACCCTGATGGTTAGAGGAGTTGTAACTTTGTTGTTTTAACTGTTTCCAAGCATTTTCAAAAACATTTCACCAGCTGTTGGAGTGTGGAATATGGCAAAAGTGGATTTAAGGATAACACTCACTGTTTCCTGAGAAGAAAATCATTTGAAAGGGGAGTACAATCAGATTTACTCTATGGCTCCTGGCTTGTCTAGGTCATTATCTGGGGTCATCACGATGGTGCCCTGGCTGTGTACCTCCTTCCGAGAGAGATGGAGACAGAACATGGGAAAGGTTTTCATCAAAAGTGACAGAATCGATCCCCAAAGCCATGAGGTAGCAAAAGTAAACTAGACCTTTCAACTTGGGAAATGAAGAGATGAAATCTTATCACAGTATGTAGAACTGAGAAAAAGTGAACTATTAACGGCTTTGTTTTGAGAAGCTGTAGTCATTGTGCCTATACCAAATGCTTTGTGTATATTCTGGTTGTAGACACAAAGACACATAATTATTAATTGGACATATTCTTTAACACAGTTACACGTAACTGTGCAACGTGGATTACTAACTTAGAAAGAACGAGGATACAGTAAAATAATTGAGTTACCGTATATACTCCAGTATATGCTGGCCTGAATATCAGCTGAGGCACCTAATTTTATCACAAAAACAGCATTAAAAAATGTGCTGAAAAACCCTGCTTTTACACGAGTACATATGGTAAGTTATACTGAATGTAACAATTTGAATGAGCTGGTTCTAAAAGCTCTGGTAATAATTTTTTTAAGAATTAAATGATGATTTTTATATAAAGAACTACTTAGCTAAAATTCTTAGAAAATAAGGTGTTGCTGCGTTTGTAGACTTCACTTTAACTTTCATTTAAATGTGAAATTGCAAACCATGGCCTTTGGATAAAATTTGGCTCTCTATTTCAGTGTAAGAGCTGAGGAAGTGTTTCACATTTTTAAATGGTTATAAAATTAAAAAACAAAAATATGGAATAGAGACCATGTTGCTTGCACATCCTGCTTACTATCTGCCCTTTTACAGATAAACTTTGCCAATACCTGCTTTAAATAATTTGTGACATGTAAAATACCATTATTTCTAAAGATTTGGTATAAGGTTTTCCAGGAAAACAAGTTTTTGTTTAAAAAGAAAAATCATTTTTTTATAGTGGTTGGAGGCAGTAGTGTGATAGGAAAAATGGTATCATTCTTATTCTGTTATCTTAATCAAATGCCACCTGTGAAGTTTAGGCATTGGGGAATGCTTGTTTGGGTTTCTAATTTGTTTTCCTGCCCACTTGCCCATGCAAATCTTGAGAGTCATTGTGTCTATACCACATGCTATTTGTAACTGATTTTGGTCTTCACCTTTTTCAGGTGGTTACGTTGCAGACGTCACTACTTAAATTAGAGCCTCCTGACCATGTCCGTTTTGCAGTGCTGGATTTTTTATCTTCTCTAGGAAAACTCTTCATTCCTCAAGACATCCAGGTAATACTCTCAACACACAGCCTCTCTAAAAAGCAGTGATTTCGGAATTTGGGGGCTACATTTGCAAACTTTTGTGGGAAAGAAATGTAGTTTCCAAAGAGAGGAAGTGAACTTTGTCAAAATAGAACTAATTTTGTTTTTTCTTAGAAAAGTATGTTGACATACAAATAACACATCAGGTTGGCTGTAGTTGAATGTATGTATTTCATTCCAGTTGGGCTCTAGTATTCAGTGAGGAAAGCTTACGTATATCTTCTGGGGAATGGTGTAAGTAGATTCATGGAAGGTATTTTCTATCAATCTCTGTTTGACCCTTGATGGTTTTTTATGATTTTGAGTTTTTCCATCTTTTTCTCATTGTGTCCAGGATGACT